ATCTACATGAATAGAAACGCTGGGATTCTACGTCCACCCGCTTGGACCAGCTGTATTCACCACCTGCTATCTCAAGTTTATGTTCCACTATATCCTCGCCACCTTAGTAGATAATTTTAATATTATTATGGATGCATCTACATCTCTAAAGAATAATAAGAACAATAAGTTTTCATTCTTGTTTTACAAACTCTCATAATCGCTCCGAGAGACGGAAGTGCACCTTGGAAAACGGATAACTTTACCCAATCGCAACAAACGTGGCCTCATTAACGGGCTTGGCACCGTCATTAAATTCATTTCTGACAACGAGGACAAAACGATTACGATAATCTTGAGTCAAAAATTAAGACACCTCAATCGAACAAAAGCCATGAAATCCAGCTCATCAACCGCCTGATCTCATTCAGTAACTTTACCTCTTAAAAATTCTACAAAGCGATGAATCGCTTATATTTGAATTTGGTTATTATCGAATTTGGTTATTATGTTATCGCAGCAAGAGTTTAAAATAGACCTACTGGAACATTACGAATATATAATGATGTGTTTAAAAAGACGTCCGAACATCATATTAACCGTCGAAAATACTGTCAGCCTCTCGTTCACCAACATGACAAATATGCAATTATTTTCCTACAAAGGTATTTCTACCATAATGCAACACCTACGTGACAACTACCCGGAAAGTGCATTAAGAAAGACGGGCCCTTATCATCCATATGGAAACTTAAAGTTCAATAGAACAAACGTCATGATCGACCATGAGCTGGTCGTTATTCTATCAGTGCCTATAACCGATGGCGACACGAACCATTTGTACTGCGTCACCTCCACAGGGAATATCCCTTCTGAGAAATACTATCTCTAGTGCTCAACGGCCAAGTGGGCCACTAGTCGTTTTGCTAAAGAAACTCTGACGAATGTGTACCCATATTCCAATCTTCGTACTACAGCGTGCAACCTGGCGAACACTGCAAGCTGTGCTTCGCCCACGTCATAAACAACGTTAAGATATTACAATTACTTAATAAAGCAGATATCTTATTATTCTCTGCTCAGACAGAAATGGCGCTACAAACGTGATAACCTCCAAAGTTCTGAACAGTTACAAGATTTTCACCTATTGTTCAGCAACCACAGTTGTCCAATGGCATCCATAGGGATCATCGCCGAACCCCGACCCGTCAATTACGCCAAACGTTTTTCACTCCTGTAGTAATGCATAAGGTCAACCACTCACCATAACAATCTCGATGTAAACTGACATAAGGCTAAATGTCCCGACACCCCTAATACCCATCACGTGGCAGCACCAAAAGAAGTAAAATTTACTTTACTGATACGTCTGAACCAATGGTCCGATTTTCCATCTGTAAACGTCATTTGACGCCTTTTTAAAAAAGAATTTACGCTACGAAACCCCTTTTCCAAAAATTTAGCAATAATTTGAATTTGAAACGAGTTTTCAAACTCCTGGGAAAAAATTAAAAAATGCGGGCTTCCTGAATCCAACGCCGTGACAATCATGCAAATCGGACGAAAAGGAGTGTCGTAAAGTGAAATTTAGGAAAACACCTCGCCCGCCTCCCCTTCTGAGCCGTTGCGTCACCCACCCGATTGTTCTGGGCCCTCTGTCGGCGCGGCGGCACGACCAGGCCAGGCGGCGTGCGGAGGAGGCGGGACTAGCGGGATACGCAAGCCAGACAGTCGGTTTATGCTTTCGTCACTTTGCATCTTAATCTCTTATTCCACAGATATCAAACTAGGGATGCTATCTTGTTCACATACTTCGGTCTTCCTTCGAATACCATCTTAAAATTGTTTGAGGCATTACTTAACATATCGATTCCGGCTTAGAACTGTTTTGTTTAAAAAAGGAACTAATTATTCCACCTCCTCACATCTTACTTTAGATATATTTTACTTCCAAGGCCTTCCGCCTTGCTCTAAGACCTTCCGGGTTCAAATACCGGAAAGAATGAGCGGAGTATACGCACGAGCTCTTTTATCCTGCAACACGATTTTTGATCTCAAAACGTTTACCTGCTTTAAAGGGTTCATCTAGCGAATCTCCAAATAATATACAATATAATAACAAATACATTTATTATTTACAAAAATATAAGTATAGAAAAATATACCTTCTCCCAAAAAATAATCGGCTGGATCTTGCGTCACAGCAGGATACAGCCGATTATTTTTCGGGAGATGGGGTATATTTTTGTATGACAGCTAGTAGTTGCAGATTAGGCGGGAGCGGGCAGCTTCAAGAACACCAAGCGCATTCCTCAGCCTCGAAATCAAGTCAGCACCCGCCTGTAAGTATGAACAGACGCAGTAGACATGTGGACGTGGAGCAGGAAGTGTAAAGCGGAGAAGGGCAGCGAGTAAGCGAGCCGATCAGTGAATTTGGTGTGAGCATTCTCCACGTTGTCTATTTGCGAACCACTGACCCAGTGCCATATCGGACTGGGAAATCTCGGGACCCCTCCCCCACGTCCACTTTACTCGAGTCCGGGCTCGTTCGTGCCCTAATCCCTGCCCTAATCCTTGGCGGCAGGTGGCGATGAAAGAACGACCGCCCGATGCATTCGGAGCAACAACCTGCTAAATAGTTTTCACAATGGACAGACTGAATCAGACCGGCAAAAAAAGATTTTCTCCGTAAAATATAAAGAAGAAGTTTCACAACATCTTGGAAACTCAGACATGGAAATGAAGATTCGATGGATAATAAAATAAGATACAAGCAATGCTATAGTATACTATAGTATAATATTTTGGAGATCAAAAATCGTGTTGTAGGATAAAAGAGCTCGTGCGTATACTCCGCTCATTCTTTCCGGTATTTGACAACGGAAGATCTTAGTGCAAGGTGGAATGATAACAGAATACCTTAGAAGTAAATATATCTAAAATAATATGTGAGGAGGTGGAATAATGATGATATTTACAGAATTAGTTCCTTTAAAAAAAAGGTTCCAAATTGGAATCGATATTTTGAGTAATGCCTCAAACAATTTTAAGATCGTATTCGAAAGACGACGTGTATGTGAAAAAGATAGTTATATACTACTATCACATACCGTTTACTTCGGTCTGTAATATTAGTATAGCATCTCTAGTTTGGTATGTGTGGAAAAATAGATTGAAATTCAAAGTGACGAAAGCATAAACGACTGTCTGGCTTGCCTATTCCGCAAATCCTGCCTGCTCCGCCGGAGCTGTCCGCTCGCCGCCTGGCCTGGACCTGGCGACAGAGGGCCCACAACAATCGTGTGGGTGACGCAACGGCGCAGAAGAGGAATGGAGGCGAGCTGTTTTCCTAAATTTCACTTTATGACGCTCCTATTCGTCCGATTTGCATGATTGTCACGGTGTTGGATTCAGGAAACATATCGCCAACGCGCTATAAGCCCACATTTTTTAAATTTTTGGTGAGAATATCGAGAACTAATTTCAAATTCGAATTGTTGCTAGATTTTTGGGAAAAGGGCTTCGTAGTGTAAATTCTATTTTAAAAAGGCGTCAAATGCCGTTTACAGATCGAAAATCGGACCATTGGTACAGACGTTATCAGTAAAGTAAATTCCCCTCTGACGGTGCTGCAAGCTATTGAATTTTCCTTCAAGTATTTTTCGGTGCATTTAGCCTTAAATTAGATCTCCAGCCTATTACATCATCTGTCCCAATATGGAAATATCATCGTCTATTACATAGTGTATATATTATCTGTATTGTGTTAGTGTTTTGTGTTGAAGCAGTAAATTAATTCCGCAATACAGCGCCTATGAGACATATCGCCACCTGTCACTGGGGACAGTGACTTTCCACAGGTGATGGAGGAGTTATGTACGCAGCCAATGCACTCACATAGGCAAGAGCAAAGGTCGTCAGAAGATACTTTTTCTTCTTACAAAAAGCTAACATTTAATCTAACAGATGTAGTTTTGTCATTGAGCTCAATAATGACTTTGATTATCTTTACTTTATACATTCGCATATTCCGTATGGTATTTCTTTCGCATCAACGTTCGTAAGGTTATGGAAATATTTCTACGCTGTTAATGATCTTCCGTCCGCGGGATGTCCTTGTGGTGCTTCTGTTATCGTCGTAAATTCTCACAGCGGGAGAATTTTTTTAATATTCGGATGGGGCGCCTACTCGCGACTGTGTCATTTTACTTAACTTAAAACAATGTAAAATGTCCATTTACATGAATGTCCAGTTTATTTTACATCGATTCCCAAAATCACAACACAAGTTAAAAGCTACACATAAATCAAATCGGAAAAATATTTCCACCGTTCTAGACGGTCGCTGATCAACTAAGCGATTTCTACCTTTACTATTTCCACTGCCCCCTCTACATTTGCTCAAAGTCACGTTACCGGGACCCTGCTTCGCGAAAGAATGTCACGTCCAGACCCTCAAACATGGAACACAAAATTTGTTGACACGTCCCGAGGCCGTATATAATTTTTTTTTTTTTAATTTCTGGTTGGCCTCGAGGCCCTCGGCAGCCTAGTACGATATTTAGGGTACAATGAATTATATAAGCCTTGTTTAAGGAACATTAATCACAAATAAATACATTGAGTACGTGGATTGAATGTGCAAAACCACATCGCGTACGTGATCGGGGGGGGGTTTCGAGAACTGTCGCTGTAGTTTCCACTTTCGATATACAACAAACCAGGGAGCTTTTGTAATGGTTCGCAGGAATTTATTTTGGAAAATTTAATTTTTTTGGATATTTGTTTTGCTGGCTGAAGCCCAGATAGGAGAAGCATAGGTGAAGATAGGACGAATAAATGGTATGGATGAGGAGCTACATGAATATGCAGGGGTGAAGACTTTTTGAGTATGCGACTGGGTGTTTTTCATGGAAGCCTTCGATTATATCTACGGTTAGTCTTATTATTTGTGATTTGTGGAAAGTAGTGATTGAAAACTGAATTGGTGCGGAGCTATAACTTGGACGGAACTGAGATGCAAGAGAAATCTGGTGAGGATATATTTTTCAAACATGTATTCCTTGGTCAATACTATTTTAAATACATCTCACTATTACAATCATACATTTTATGCATATTTCCCTTTATTAAATGTCTTAGGGGGTTATGGTATCTCACAGGAACCAAGGAAACCACACAAAAAACACACAATATTTTTATTTACAAAGTACATAAAATTGTTTTATGATAAATGCTCTAGTTTAGTGTACTCAACACACTTCGATGGATCTGTAGGAAAGTACTGCTGACATTTAGTCATTAGTCTTTTTAAACCTTGAAGATATTTTCTTTGAGTTTCATCATTCATTACATGAGCGACATTCTTTGAAAAAATTTTTTCTCGCCCTGTTCGCGCGTGAATACCAACCATAGTGACACCAATGGGCCAAGGAGCATTGCCAATGGCCATTTGTAGATATGCGTCACTAGCCTGCCAAAAAATAAATCAATCCAATGTTTGATGACATTTTTTATATTTTATATTTAATACATATATTAGAAGTGCCTAATACAATACCTTTATGTAATCTCGGTTCAACATAAAACTTGTAATTTCTGTAAGGGACTCTGCAATATCTTCAGGTACAGATTTTGTTTTCAATTTCCGGACTAAAGGTTTCAAATAAACCTGCGTCTGTGTATAAGTTGCACATGCCAGTTTTCCTTTGACCGTCATTTTTTCAGCGGCAGAGCGACTATTAAGCTGGTTGCCCCACATCTTAAGAAGAAACTGAAAAAAGAAAAACATTTTCATTAAAGTGAAACATCTTTCAATTCAGAGGAAGGCTATTACAGAGCACATTTCACGAAGTACTTCTCAATTGTTTAAAAATGATTTCAGAAATTACTAAGTAACCAAATTATACTTTTGTAGAAAATACCATACGAAAATGTAATAGAAGACATTACTACAAGTGTTCATACTTTCTCACATTATTTCTATATTTGCAATTTTTGAAAATTCGGATAGCAACGACAATGAGATTTGCGCCATTACTTTAAGCGCCCTCTGTTTTATCACCGGAAAATATTGGGACAGATTTGAATTACAATAATAGTTTTTTTCAAAATTGCACTAGACCTTTAAGAACAGGCAATGAGGCTAGCATCATTTTTTCGGCCTTTTGGTACATTCGAAGAGAATATTTAAAGAAAGAATTGGAGTCTTTTTGAAAAAAATCGTTTAACATTTTTTAAATTGCCGTATTTTACACAAAATTATGCTAAAACTATATTTTCGAAAAATTGTACATGTTCATATTTCAAGATTGGTCTTTAGAAAACAGATTTCATTCAGAAAAACAAAATATCTATCTTCAATTCTATGGTAGAGATGGGCTAGTAGCTCTTCAATTACAGGTATCGGAAAAAGTTGCCTCGCATTAAGTTAATAATACCAGTTGACAATAACACATTCATGATCAGCACCCTAACATGGCCGACTGCCAGTGGCATAGCGTCAATGGATGCGAGTAATGCGTCACATCCCCCAGTTATTCGGTTAGTATTATGGTTTATATTCGTTGCTGAAAATGTTTCTCATTCTCACTAAGTAAAACTATCTTTCTTCGTATGCTTCAGGCCACTGTATCGGTTACAGTACCTGATTTTGTAATACTGGTTAATGATAAAGGTGGCTCCACACATTAGTTATTCGGCGAGTAGCTAGCAACCGCTCGCCGAATCCTAATGTGGACGAGTTGCTTGCTATTTGCTGAGTGACGAACATTCAGTGCTCGTCTGCTCGCCCCACCCACTGCGTCTAGGTCTTATGAACTCATCAAAGGAACATTCGCCGAACACATCAGCTGTTCGGGATTTGGCAAGAAGTAGCTCGTTGTTCGGCGAATGCGAATGAATGGAGCCGCCTTAAGACATTATCATCAGTTCCCTATGTTCGATTCTGCCGCAAGGCCAATAACTTTCGAGAAGAATGCCTATTGGTTTTCAAATTACGAGACTGATGCGAATCCACAAAAGCATCAGTTATATACATCAGCTCCAATAATTACATTAATTCGCCACCAGCGCAGTAGAATAAGAACTGGTCGGAAGTAGTTCAAATTTTCTTCACCAGGGTGCTTGTATACCAGGTGTTAAACAAACATCTTCATTAGTACATGTCCATCGTGTTTCTAGAAAATGTTGTCAAGTTCGAATTTTCGAGAATTATATAGAACGTAGCTTTAACTGCGGGCATAATGGAGTGTCGTGATACATTTTGTACAACGCTATTATAAAACAATATTTAATTATTAAAATCGAATGTATTGTGACCATTAAGCCTGGATAGGCTGGGCGATAAACATTCACTGACGATTAAATTTGAACTTACTTTTCGAAGAGGAAAAGCAGCCCTACAAATAGTGTATAAACTACGACTCCTGGCCAGATTTTTGGAACCATAATTTTTAGATATTTCAATATTTTCATTAAAACGTATTAAAATACTTTTATTTATTATGAAATTCTATTTTCATGCTTGATCCTAAAATATTCTCATTTTTGCAATTTTTCGCGTTGAGGTCTACTTTAGAACCCTAGACCACATATTTGAAAATAGATAATTTTTAACATTTCGTACACCATTTTAACACTTCAAGCATTCAATAAAATTCAAAGAATTGTAAGACCTGGTTTTCAAATATTTTTGTAATATTCCAAATTTAGGTACAGATTCTCCAAAATATTAATAATTTTACGTGTTTTGAGGTCTATTGAGATACCTATTTTAATAATATTGTAACGTTCTCGTGGTGAATTAAAACACAGGTAATATTTGAACAAAGACGTTTATTTTGTTTCTTAATGTCGCTAAAATACTTGATTTATTTACAGAGAAGTTGCTCAGTTCTTGTGTGCTTTACTTGGTTATTCCCTTACACATGACTCACCGTTGATTATTTATTTACACTGTTCTCTTCTACTCTACCGCACAGTCCGAAACACTGTCCAATGCACTGACCACAGTCCACTACGCTGATCACAATTCACTGAGCTGACAACGGTTCACGGCGCTACTAAGGGCCCTCTGCACTGCTGTTCATCTACTGCACCACCGTTCAACACAATGCACACTTCACAGCTCAGCTTCCACTTCAGCCTTCAGGCAGACTCCCGACTGTTATTCACCTACCGTACCATTTTTCACCGCAATGCACACTTCACAGCTCAGCTTCCACTTGAGACTTCAGTCGGACTGCGTACTGCTCGCGGCCGCCGGCAGCGGCGAATTTATACCTGTCTGGCGCACGTCTGGACCTATCCGGAACTTGCGTCATACTTCTACGCGACTCGCGACGGATACGTTTATGTTGGAGCAGCGATAATCGAAGAGAAAGCATGTGTTACGAAATTGCAGAGCTGATGTGTTCATGACGGAGCAACGTGAAACAGCGCCACTCCGAATCACTCACCATACTTTCTTAATTGGCTTAGGGACTTTTGGTTAAGATTTACGTTGAACTGCAGTAGGAGTCAACCTAAACTTCATTCACCTACGCAATGGAAGCATTACATCCTACGAGGTCCATAGGTATTTTTTTCGCTTGATAAAGAAAGAGATGTCAACCTCACTCAAATCCCCCTGCAACATGCGGCAAACAGCAGTGTGGAGCCCGCGAGAGAGTTGATGCTAGCGCGTACTTTCGAAGTTTTTGTTGTGCCAGCGAATTCAATTGTGGTTTGCTTTGGAAATGTATTATTTTATATTTTGCTTTGTATTTTCATCGATGCGTCGTGATTTGACGGCAAGCCCTTCAAAGAATGTGCTGAGGAGAATTGTAGAAAGTGAAAGAAGTAAAAAATATTCACGAAGAGAAGAAATAATTGCTCAGTTTGATATCCTGTCTATGGCGATGATTATAGAGGTAAGCTGCCTTGTCTACAATAATTATTAAGTTGGTTTGCTTCGAACATGTCATAAGGATAAATAATTACTATAAATATCAGTAATTGAATCAGTACTTATTTTTTCTTGAAAATTATTTTAGATAACGTGAATTTTGCAAATATTTATCCCAATACAAAAATTATTATACAATCTACCTTTATGCCAATTAGTGTTTACTGAAAATTACAAGTGGCTTACAAGTATATTTACATTGACTATAAAAGAGAAGCAGATTTGTATATATTATAAATATGTTTTGCGTTGTGGTTAGTGATTGATTACATTTGAAAAACTCAATGGCCATTTCCTTTACTTTTACACGCCTAGCCTCTTGATGAAAGAAATTTGGAAGTATGTGAATGAGTGTTGAAGAAATAATTATGGAATTGGGTCTTTATGGAGGAAAGGAAATCCATTGTGTACTATAGGCCTATGTGGATGTCCAAAACTAAGAATATTTTCTTCCAAATTATATGAGAAATAAAAACAGTGAAGATAAGTGTGAAATTGTGCCAAAAAAGTGACTATGTACAGAATATTTCAAATATGTGCAGTGCTCATTATTCTGTCAAATTTTAATAACTTTAAAGTCCCATTGTCTGTCAAATTTATATTTTTAACACAGTTTTCAGTTTGGTATCTTCTCAGTATTTAGAAAAGGAAGTATAATTTTTTATTTAAAGGATTTAATTTGCAGTAAGATATTTGTCTTATTTTTTTTTTCTGTGATATATAATTGTAAGCATGCAATATACATCATGGATTATATAAAATTAATAAAAAGTCTACTTCAATATTATTATTAATAAGAAAGATTTCAATTTTCAATATTGGTTAAGACAATAATTTTGGTGTTAATTTTATCAATCTTAATTGAATTCTCAGTAAAGGTTTCCTATTGTGCTTGTACAGAGCCTATATTGTGGTGATATGTTGGTGTTTCATTTAACCGAATATAAAGTCTGAATACTACACATACAAAAAACCATCAAATGTTAAAAATCATTTCCAAAAGATTAATTTTTTGGGTGCCCTCAGTTAATGTTGACTGAACAACATAACACTCTCCCAATTGTTATTTAAGTTTTTCATGAAATTTGATCCAAGTTTACATGGAAGACTTCTGAAATGATTGTCGTTTTCAAAAACCATTGTAAATTAATAACTTTGAATTCTTACGTAGAAACTGAACTGAATTTCAAAGAAAACATTATCAGGGAAGTGATAAAGGTAATTGATAAGCTATATCAAAATCAGTTGTTTCCGGGCTTGAAGGCCGTGGTCCAATGGAGACTTGTCCATACGTTTCACCTGCAAGCATTGTGGCAAGGCCATGCCCTCAAGTGGCGTTTGCTGGCGGGGGCGAAGTGTCCTTGTTGCAAGCGGCCGCGGTTGACTGAGTCAGACTTCAGTCAACGCGGCGCTGCAACAAGGACACTTCGCCCCCGCAGCAACGCCACTTGAGAATGCCTGCCACAGCTGCAGCGAAACGTATGGACAAGTCTCCATTGGACCACGGCCTTCAAGCCCGGAAACACTGATTTTGATATGGAAAACCGGCGTGAACGCCTCATTGTATTGTTAATTGTAAGCTAGTTTTATTTCAAAATGTTTCTTCTAAAATCTTAAACAGTAAAAACAAGGAAGGCTGAGGGTTCTATAGGGTGTAACACCTCAATATTTTGCCAAATAGTGGCATGGGACTATCTGATCCCAATCACTTCCATTTTGATTTCATTACAAAAGTGTAATTCAAATGTTGTTCAAGGAAATGTGACATTATTTGTATGTATCAAAAGCAATAATGTAAATAATTATCTTTCAATAAATTTTCTAGT